GTGCATTTAGTGATTTCTGCAGACTTCCAAACAGTTTGTTCAAACATCTACAAGTTTTGCGGACTCTTCACCTTACCGTTCTTCACCTTCCTTCCCATCGTGGCAATTGAGTTAACTGAAAACCAATGTCAGAGTGTGTCCAACCCCGTATCTAGGGCCGGGGCCTTTTAATTCCGTTTTCCGAGTTTCACCGTCGAGTTTCTTCACACCACTTCATGCAACAGCACAGGCTCACGGGTCTGTTCCTGGCGTGAGCCAATGAAGCTCCAGGTTCAGATTAGGATATCGAGAGGGGACCCTCTCTCGAACTACCTGCGAGAAGATCGTTGACGCGCAAACAGTTACGAGCGGCCGCCCTAACTTACCCCCATCCACCTACTAGCTACCCCACCCGCAGGGCACAGCAAGTTATTCCAGGCCCCATGGCACAGTTGCAAAAAACATCATCATTGTAAGCGACTGTAAAGCTGGAACCACACCAGTTGGTAGCAGGCAGTGTAGCAGGCAACCATTTCCGGAGACCCAAGATTTGAAGGTAAGACTTGTTAACTGCACACAAAACATCCATGGCGCAAAGCTGAAACCTTTCTACAGTCAACCTGCAAGCCTAGCAGAGGTGTTGCCACATTTCCAGCTTGCGCGTTAATTTCTTTCATGTCAATAATGAAATCCCAACGGCATGCTCACGGTAAAAACAACGTCTTGTCTACCAACCCTTTAGAGTTACAGTAATAATCAAGGTCAAATTATGTCCTGCTGTGGGGTCTGGCAGAGGTCGCTGATGATTCCTGTTAAAAAAATCTTTTGCGCTGAAACATATCGAAGCTTTGAAGTGCGCCAGAAGGTACTGGCATGCAACCTCTGCAATGTCCAGGTCACATTTTGTCTTCTTGTCCTTCTCGATGGTTTAGGGCTCCTGCGCACATGCCACCTGAGCAGATGAAGCCTTGGGCTGTTCTTGCTATCTTTCCCAGCCACTTTGCTCATCATAACGCCCCATACTTTGCAGAGGCGTTTTGTCTTCTTGGC